TACCAATAGGTTATGCACATACATATAAATGTACATGTGTGTGTGTGTATCTATGTTAATTTTTATTAACGTAACGCCACTTGTACTCATACATTCATACATACATACATCCCTACATAACATACATCATATAATATATCGAGCAATTCAAATAACCGACGAGCCAAACTACCAAAACGTAACTCGAGACACATCCAAGCTGTCAACTAACAGCAACTGGCTAGCATTGTGGAAGCAACGAAATTATCAAACCAAATCGTGCACTCTCACCACTCTCTGATTAAACCATATTCTTTTTTCATTTTTCATTTTGTTTATTTTCCCTGCTACTGCATTTTATATACATACATACGTGTACATATATAATATATTAATATATGTAGCTACATATCTTCACTTCGTCGTTGGAGGGTCTACAACGGTCTTTTTCTCTCCCAAAATATACTACATACATACATATATCAGTAGATGAGTACCTATAATAATAAAAATACAGGAAAATAATTTTCTCAATTCTCATAGAATATACAAATCTTGGCGTTTAGTTATACTCATTTAGATTGAGCGCTACTCAGAAGAGTGCTCACAAAGTTTAGAGCTCGCATAGTTCACAATGTGTGTAGCAATAAGTACATCCATATGTATGTATGCATGTATTTGTATGTGCAACAGCAGCAGGAGCTGTAAGTAGGAAACACACAAAGTCGCAAAAGTCTTCTTCACCATTGTTTGTTGTGTTTTGGCATTGTTTTTGTCGCCGTCGCCGCCGCCGCCGTCATCGTTGCTGAGACACAGTACCACCGGTAATACACCACAGCTTACCACACTCTACCACCTTCATATCGTCAGCGTCATTTGGTGAGCATTCGCTCGTATTATGTTTATACATAGATATTAAACATTCATATATATATATAAATATTTGCAATTGGTGGCTTCTCCGAAGCTATGAGGATGATTTACAGTGTGATAATTTTAATTTTAATTTGTAAAAATTTAAAATAAAGGGCAATGTACGCTATGATAGGTTTAAAGCTGAATTATGACCCATGATAGGCTATAAGGAAACCATCAGCTGAAATAAAATTTTGATTTTCCTTCTGTAAAAACCAAATAATTGAAGTATTTTTGAATTTGACTATTAAGAAAAAACTTTCCCCAAAAGGACAAACAGAAAACTGAACCTTGAGGCAGTAGTCTCCTTTGAACCCGAACAATATTTTCGAAGGGGAAAGAAATAATTACTGTAAACGAAATTTTCAGACAATAAAATATAATACTATATTTAAGCTTAAAAAAATAATTTTAGTATAATTTTCCAATGGTGTGTTGAGTTTTCTGTTTATTATTATTTTTTTTTTTTAATTTGTATGAGTTCTATATGAACCTAATAAATACCGAAAAAGAATTTTTTCGAAGATTGTTTTTTTGCAAGAAAAAAAAAGTTGATTAAATAACAGCTATTTAATCAAAAATTTAATTAGTTCAAATAGAAAATAGTTTGACACGGAAGCTGGATTACTTTGATATTTTCCATTGGATCGGACATGCATATATTCTTTTTGCTATCACTGGCCGGCGCTCGGCTACTAAAACTCTTCTAAATTTTGAAGACATACTTATTCTTGGATAGTTTTTAGAGTGGATTTAAGAACAAAATTAATTTTTTGAAGCCTCCAAAGCAGACTTAAATATTAATATTAATCAATTAAATATATTAATTAAATTCCAATAAATGTGGAATTTATATGAATTAATGGCATCACATTCCGTGTCATTTTCTTATCTAGATTTTCTTAACTATTATTAGTATCAAAAATTTCTAATACCCTTTGGCAGATAATTTTGAGCAATTTGATCGCCAGCTTTTATGGACTAAAAGGGCTTGCTGAAGATAATAGAAAAAGTAAAAAACGGAGCAGTTTTGATCAAAATGAAGGCAAAGTGAACATATCTTACAGTCGATGACAGTAAATATATTGTAATTGCGATCAACACAGACTGATACAGATCTTATTAATAAATGAAACAATTCATAAGACACTGCCGCGCCTGCCCTTGCAACACCCTTGCAACAGCCCATTCAGTTTTGTCTGCGGGCTCAATCCTCAACACATTTTCAATTATTACGCCTAAGCTGCCCTGTTCAGACGTTTATGACAATATCTTTCAAATTTGTAAACAAATTTGTAAGGTTAATCCTACTCCTTCCTTGTTTTCTTTTCGAGTGAGAAAGTGGATCAAATGGTTGCAGGTCCACATGTCGCTAAAGATGCATTGGTTATTCCTTGATTATATGTGGATTTTCTGAAACTACAACGGATTTTTTTTTTTTTTTTTGACTAATTGTACAGAATTTTATGTGAAAATTTTAATTCCTATTAACGGTGTCGAGTTGATGTTGATGGTTTTTCGTGTACTCTTCGTGCTCCCGCTTACAGTTGCACAATTTGAAGTCCCGCTGCACTGCCTTTATGGTGAAATATTTCACCATTTTTGAAATAAGTTTTCAATATTTCTCAATTAAACCGCAATTCTTGCACTGAATATATGACACAGGAAATGTTAGAAATACACCTGGAGGGCTTGTCATTTTCTGGAGAGAGAGAACGGCAATTAGAAACATTAATTTTCCCTGATTTTGGAGGTTGTTCGAACCACTCAGCTATTGCGGCCTTCTCACAATAAATATGACAATTTTTAAATACACACATTTCATAGAGCATTATCTTGTGTGACCAAAGATTTCTATTCAGAAATCCCTTTAGTTTACTTTATATATTCACACCTTCCATTTTTCACTATAATCGCTTACCGATTTTTCACACTATAAATCTAACCAACCCCCATTGAAAGAGCAAAAAGGATTATTGAACTCACCATACAATTACTACAACAATATTATACGCAAATGGCACACTGTGCGACGACGTGTGCTGAATTCGCGTTACATTACTTTTGTACCTGAATCTTAATCCATTTTAGTTAGGGTGCCTCTGAGCGCCGCTGGTGCTAAGTGCGCGCACTGAGAGTGGATATGTATATATGTGTGTATCGATGTGTATGTGTAGGTGTGTATGTCTGATTGACTTCAAATGCGTTTGCATATAAATATGTATGTATGTATGTATATTAATGTCAAAGTATCTGAGTGTGTATGGCATGGCTACGTATCTTTTAGGTTATGCGGCGGGGCATACAAGCATACAGACATACATATGTACATGTAGTTGTGTTATTACTATTTTATTTTATTTCCAATTTATCCCTTTATACATTTTGGTATTTTCTCTATATTATAGTTATATAGAGTACTGAAATATTTGTTGTATGCATACACATTTATATACATACATACATACAAACATATGTGCAATAGCTGAGTGTACAACAACAATAAATAATGAGATATTGAGAGTAGGAATAAGAAGAATTATAGCCGCACACAGATCTAGAGGTGGATAGAGTTGATTCTTCTACATACACGTACATACATATATAGCAGTCGCGTATGTATTTACATATATACATGCATATGAAGCACATGCTTGCTTAATGAGTAGCGTTTTCGACGTTACTGCTGTTGTTGTTGTCGTAATTATTTATTGATGCAATTTTAATTTCTTTTTATTAGCATATTCTTAATTTCATATTCGATTTGTCATTGCCCAAGTGACTTTTTTTTGCTTTTTTTTTAAGTTTATTTTATTAATTTGCTGAATTTCTTTGTTTGCTTTGACGTAAGGAAGACTCAATTACCGTTTCGATTTTCGTTCGGTTTCTGTGTAGGTACATATGTACATACATATGTATATTGTGATTGGTTCCACTTTGTGTTGCTAAAAGATTTTTAATGACAATTATTTTTCGCTCTATTACTAAATAATATTACCGTCAGTCATTATTATGACTTTTGTTTTGCAGCTGTATTAGCGCTTTGGTGTGCGTGCTCATTTATAAATTTATTCGCTCATTTTCATTTAGTCGTCCACACCATCATCATCGTCATCGTCATCATCATCAAGCTCACCAACACCAACACCAACATCATATCGTCATGAGTGTGTACTTTTCCCCATTTTTTGAGCCGTTCCGCCTTCCGCATTTCAAACCGACGTCACATCGTCATCATCATCAGTAGCAGCAGCAGCAGCAGCAGCAACATTAATCCATTCTTTTCTTACACTGTGCTCATAAGCATTCTATGCATATTTACATACCTACATCTGTATGTATGTGCGAGTATGAATGTTTGGATGTATATGCATTTAATATATTTATATATAAATATTTCCATACATATATTTGAATCCATGCCACATTTATGCCACCCGTGTGCTCTTTCAGTTCGATTACCGCTGCTAGCGTGCTGGCTGGCTGGCTTGGTTGGCTGGTTGACTTGGCTGGCTGGCTGCGGTGGCTTGGTTGGTTTTTTGCTCCCTGTCGTTTGTTGGTGGCTGGTGCCTTTGCCACCGCACTCTATACATACATATTTATATCTACTCATTGCATACTTTGCTTTGAGTTTACTTTGTCGCTGTTGCGTTGTCTCTGCGCTGTGCTTCTTCGGTCTCAGTTCAGTTTTCAGTTCAGTGTTCAGTCTTTGCTTTGCCTTTGCGCTTATCTATCTCTTCGCGTACACCGTACACAAAATATTTTTTCGGTTAGCGTGAGTTGCCCTGCTGCTGTTAGCTGCTCATTATTTGTTTGAGCGTCGTCGTGTAAAGTTGTAAAAAGAATTTTAAAATCGTACCTCTCTTTGTCGAATCTATCTTTGACTCGTTGTGTTGGTGTTGTTATTGTATACATGCATATACGTATGCATACAAACATACATAAGCCAGCGCGCGCTGGAGAATGAAAAAATAAATAAATAAATAAAATTAAAAAAATTACAAAAAAAATAAAAATAAAAATAAAAAATAAATATAAATAAAAATTAATTGTTAATAATTTAGTACAAGTTCAAAAAAAATAAAAATAAAAATAAATTAACAACAACAAAAATGAATAAATTCTAGCAAATGGTATTATGAAATTAATAAATTTGTGTATAAAAAATGATTTCGAAAAGTGTTTGGTGTATTAACTAAAGGTGCGCTAAATTGCTTAGATATTTGTTTGGTTAGGTTTTAAGCTATAGGAAATGAAGAAACAGTGCACACATACATAGTATTTATATGCATACCACATACTATAGATATGTAGTGTATGCAAGTGTGTCTTAGCATAGCTATAAAATATTATATTCAAATAAAATGGAGAAGAAGGGATATAAGTAAACAAAAAGAATAAAACCCACAAAACTAAACGACCAAATGTATTGACGCTTAAACTAAATCATCATCATCAGCACCATCGTTGTCGAAGTCGTCGTCGTCGTCGGTGTCGGTGTAGTTGTCGTCGTCCGTTGTCACCATAGTTGAAGTTGAAGAAGAAGTCGTTGCCGTTGCCGCTATCTGTGTTTCCGTCTCCGACTTACCATACATACAAACATACATAACTCTATATATGCATGTATAACTCGCGCTATTTGCCGAAGTCGTCGATTTCGAAGTTTAAACCATAGCAGTCAGCCGCCGTTGTCGTCTTCGTCTACGTGCGTTTTTGTTTTTTTTTTTTAATTTGTGTGTGTATGTGTTTTATTGTGCTCGTCGTACCTCCTCGCGCTCGCGATATTTTATATTATATATAATCATTATAATTATTATTATTGATAATTGTCGTTATTGGTCTTCGTTTGTTAAAATATTGGTTAGTGATTGGTTGGCTGGTACTTTGTTTGGCATTGTTGTTGTATTTGCCGCCACATTTGTGATTACGTTCAAAGCGGTGACAGCAGCAGCAGCGGCACACTAAAAATATGCAAATAATAACTAAACAAATGGAAAGCAATGTGCCAATACAACAACAACAACAACAACGACGCTATCAAAAACAACAACTAAATTATTGTTATAATAAATAAAAAGAGCAATAAAAAATTTTAAGGCGAAAAGACAACAAGACTATGCACAAACAGTCGTACATACATACACACATATATACATCCATATGTACATCTGTAGGGGCAAACAAGTAAAGCAAGCAATAGCCAGCCATCAAGCAAGCTGAGGCAACAAAAGAAGAAACACTTACGAATATAATAACAGGAAAAAATGTTTGTACATGCATATAATTCTTCATACAGATACAGATAAATAAACATATGTATGTATGTATGTACATATACATTTTTATTCGTACACATATGCATATGCTGTGTGAGTGGCTCTCGTCTTTGACGTCGAATAAATGATTTATAAGTAATTAGTGCAAAGATGAAGTGGTGGAGAGTGTAGTGTTTAATAAATGTATGTACATACATACATGCAGACATAAATACCTAACTACACCTAAATATATCTACGTATGTACATGCGTATATACATTTCTAAAAAAAATACGATATATTATAGTATGTACATATATATGTATGTATGTATGTATGTCAGCCATTGTATTATAATGCAAATTAATGTGTGCACACGAGCAACGTATTGTATTTGAAATACTAAAAAGTTCAATTTAATTCAATGATGATTATTATTGTACTCAGGCCGTTTAAGCTGAACGCCGAAGAAGAAAAGAAAGAAGAGGAAACTAATAAAGAAAAAGTACAATCGCGTATATTGTGAAATTTAAAAAATTTAACTGTAATTTTAACAACACGAAGAAGACAAAAAACAAAAAAATTACCAATTCACCAAAATGATTTCTATTAATTAATTAATTAATTTATTAATTAGTGTGTAATCGGACTAATTGTTGAGATCAACTGAACAGAAAACACGAGAACAAAAGCAAGAACACTTGGCTAACGCTAACGCTATATACATGTGTATGTAGATACCTACATACATGCATATATGTAATATACATATATTATAGCGTTAAGCATCGCATCAATGGAAGTTATAAAACCAATGGATTTTAGCAGTTTTTCTGCATTTTGCGAACATTTGGATAAATCAACAAAAAAATCAACTACTGCTGTTGTCGCAAACGGCTCGAATACAACAATAACAACAACAAATACACACGCGATATCATCACCCGCGACAACAACACCTCTACCCCTACCCCTACCGCTACCGCTACCTCTACCGCTAATACAAGCGACAACAGCAAACGGTGGTGTTTTTGTTGTTGGTGGCTCAACATCATCATCGTCGTCGTCACCGTCGCCGTCACCAACATCTGTAATTGCAACGAGTTTGGCCTCAGCGTCGCCACCACCACCACCACCAACAACAACACTACCACCCTCATCAATAGTGCATCTCGTGAACGGGAACGCCAATAATTGCTATCAACAGTACAACGAGGTATTAACGACATACATACATATCTAAATGGTGCATATGCACATTTAAAACATAATAAACCACCATAAGTCGACAAATAATAATTTTATATGCTACCAACAACATTTTTTTTCTAAATAGAATTACACAACTCTTTGCAAGAGCAGCGACTACTTCTCACTCACAAGTAGTGCAACAACAACAAAACTCATTGAACTGAATCAAAATGTGTCGTTAAAACACAAAAATTAAATAGCATTTTGTTGTAGTTGTAGGTGAAAGTCGAGACAATGATTTGCAATGATGAAATCAATAAATTACTTGTGAAATAATGTGCAAGTTTTTAAACAAATATATACTTCATTTTTTTGGCAAGCCTTTGACATGAATTGATTTTCTGAAATCGCTTAATTAAGCAAACAATATTTAAATATCTGGTACAAGTTAGAAAATATTTTTATTACATCATCATCATCTTCTGTAGTATTTATGCGTAATATTAATCGTAGAGTTGGATTTTAGCAGCCGTGCGTTATCACTTTTGGTTTAGAAACATTTTTTTCTCAACCTCTAAACACAACTTACTGGTCAACTGAACTGTTTTTAGACCGTCATGCCTGAATTTATATTGAAGAAATTTATTTTGTGAATAAACGACTTCTCGTGTGTTTTCCCCCCTTCTTTTTTACATGAACTCTGAGAATATTTATTGTGTTTTGAGTGATTCTCTTTCGCTGTGATTTCTAAGGTGGAATGATTGTTTATGTATAGTGTTCAAGAGGACTTCCACTACTGTTGTATTAGTAAAGTATGAAGCTTCTTGTTTTTGTAGCCAATACAACCCTGCAAAACATGTGTAATAATTGATCAGCTGTTTCTGTTTATCATCAGTTAAGGCTTCATTATTCCCTTTTCCTTAAAATCATTTTGTATCTCACCATTTATCTCATACCTTCGTTTACAACAATAAAATTTTCTTCTATTTGAAAAATGGAATGAGATTAAATGTTCGCAAATTTGTTTCAAACGTTTTAAAGCTTATAATATTGGCTAAAACTAAAGTCCCTCCTCAAGATGATTACTCGATGAAATAACCCGAAATATTGCAGTAATGTAACTCAGTAATTAGCAATATTTGAATAACAAGGAGGGGGGGATGCTTTCGTTTTGGCCAATAATGTATTTCCTGTTTCCTTTAGGCTTTTCATACAGTCCTATATATAAACATAAGTTTAGTGAGTGGAAGAATAATTTGTTTCAGTTATAACTGAATATTCATTTATACAAAACTGCAAAAATGGTAAAAGTGAGAGCTTTTTGGGAGATCGATAAGCTTTTTCGGCTCAAAACAAACAACACAAAAGGTTTGGCTAAACACAAACAGGCAACACGTACCTATTATTTTTCTTCCGCGTATTCCTCTCTCTCTCTCTCCTCCCTCTCTATCACTCTCTCTCCCTCTCCAAAGATGACTAGATACGAAACTTACACAAAATCACTCAAATTGCAGCTGAGAGCGTTCCACATTCTAATGTTGGCAGCAGTGTCAGATCGGGGAACACTCAACATCTGATGTGCAAAACGCACCAGTGACACTATGTCAATAAAAAAATTCCATTATTTATGATTCAAAAGAAATTTGCTTCAGCAGTAAATATTAAAGAAATTATTGTAATTTTATTATTAAAACTTAATATAATTAAATATTAAATTGTTTCTTAATAAAATATTTTAGTGAAATTGCAATTAAAGACGCCGTTGTTTGCAATAAAATACCCAAAATATACCCAAGAAGTCATTTTTCTATCACAGTGGCACTGTTAAGAAATGTTATAAAAAATGCGGGTTTTTGAGCGCTCTCACGGAATAAAGAGTTTCGTATCTAGTCATCATTGCCCTCTCTCTCTCTCACTCACTCACTCACTCACTCACTCACTCACTCTCTCCCTTCCTTTCTCTCTCTCTCTCCCTTTCTCTTTCTCTCTCCCTTTCTCTCTCTCTCTCTCTCGTTCTCTTTCTCCCCCTCCCTTTCTCTCTCTCTCTCATATTTCCTCAATTGAAAATTATAAGGCGAAAGAAGGAATACCTACCAAATGGTGTCAACCTATAATACCACTTATCAGGCTACATCCTTCTTCACATATTAGTGGCACCTATTAATTAATTAACTATACCGTTAATTTTTCCTTAGCATACTAACTTCAGCCGTAACATACATTTACATATACACGTCCTTTTATTAAAATTGTAGCAACTATTTACGATTTGTCGCTGAACCATTTCTCAGTAAGAATGAAATCAAATTTCTTCCATTGCAAGGAGAGAAAAATACTATATATTGTACATATCTCTATGCTCATCATACAAACCGAAGTATAAATACAATTTTTCGGTTCCAGGTGCACTTTCCGGGAAGAGAGAAAATAATTTTTTTTTTTTTGATTTATCGTTTTCACATAAATTTCCCACAAAAAGTGGCTATATATTTATATCAGCAAAACGGTAAATCTAAAGTAAAAAGAACAAAACGAGAAATAATAATAACCGGAAATTTCAATTAAATCGATCGATTTATTCAAATAGATCGACTACAGTTCCACTTTGCGAATAAAAGTTTTTAAAACCCTCCCTCAAGGCAATAACGAGCAACTGGAACTTCATCGACCAGGCTGTTCTTAATGGTTAAATTATTATAAATATTTCCACAATTTTTAAATACATATATATCTCATATATATATAATTGGCGCTTTGTAACCGCTGAAACAATTTTCGGCCGCGCTCTTCCTCCAGTTTTCGGTGTTTTCATGATGTTGTTCCGACAAATGTAGGGACCTACTGTTTATCCTAAGATGGGTCTTTTACGAGGAACTTTTATTTTTCATGTCAGAAATACCCTCGGAGGAGTTGAGAAAAACTTTTATTTAATTTTTAATTTAAATTAATTTTCCGAATGGCAGTACTACGCAATGGTAACCACTAAAATCTAACTAGTTTGTATATTTGCACCAAGTTCATATCCTACCTATTTGCAATGTAGCGTAAAAGATAATGGATCTCAGCCAAAATACGACAAACTGTGGTGAAAATCATTTTTATTCCTGTTACTTCCTTCATAGCATTTTGAATTTTTGCACACAGCCTAGCTTACCTTTTCTTGCGGTTAACTATTCTAAAACGGTAGGCTGCTGATTGTTCAAAAAATATATTATCATAAACCCAAACAGTTTTCTACTATTATTAAAAGCAACCAACCGCACCGAACTATGGTGGATGGCTAGATATTGTCGAGACAAAAGAACACTTCGAAGTTGTCACGTGTTTCGTTCTCTTTCTTACTTTCAATATACATTTTTTTAACCCCTTACACACTCTCTTTCTCGACAATAATAGCAATTATTTAACCCCTTTAATAAAACTTTTGTCCTGTAAAGATATTTCTGTATAATTAAACTAAATGTGTGCTGTAAATAAATTAAGGAATATGTTCACATAATTTCAGTTCTTTAGAAAATTTATATAATCACGCAGTATTAAAAAGGGTTAAAAGAAATTTATATTTATAATAAAATATTAAAAACAAAATTATTTTCTTAAAAAATCACGTAGCAATGCATCGCTATAAAGGAGACATTTCTGTTGAAATTAAAATTTATATAAGATATTGCTTATCTACATATATAGTATGTGTATTGTATGTATGTAAATCTGATTAAACAACAACCTAAACCACTGAATGTAGATATCTTGAATGTTGAGGTTAAGTTATGTGTATAACGTAGGCAACCGTTAAGAAAAGATTTTGCGGACAGTTGATCTGTGAGCCAATTATTCCAAATTTATTTTCGAATCGTTCAATTTACATGGAAATATGGTACATACTCGTATGTAGGTTGCTCTTTGCCTGAATTGACCAAATAGCAATCAATATTTGGAAAAATTATAATTTTTTTTTTTTTAAATATACAATTATTTCAACTTAATTAAAGCGTTATAATAAAGTAAATAACTTGAAAAAATGAATAAGAAATCGGATTAAAATTGAGTATATCAACAAATCACTCAGAGCTTTTGGCGATTCCCTATCGATGTGTGTGATCTCATGTTGCCATGATGACACGATTCCACTCCTGTTGACTAAATAAAGCTAATTAACAGTTTGACCATTGAAAATTAGCTCATAGTGGCTTGCCAATCCCACCAAGCATATAACAAAACCTTTCTGGTCGTCAATGCTGGCTTGGAGAGCGTTTGTGTCAGCTTACTGCCCTTCGACCACGACC